TTTCCTCTACTCTAGCATGCAAGCTATGTTGCTATTAAGTGCTGCATACCAAATTTTTCCCCTTGTAGAGATTTATGTGATGTGATATTAAATTCTTGCGAGCATTTCCACTGTTTCTGGGGTATTTTCTTTTTCTCCTCAAGGTGCAAAACATGAGTCACTAACAAGAAGTGGACCTGTCAGCCCTGTGGTCCTGCTGGAGCTTGGAAAATACTAAGGGGAACCAAACACCACCGCCAGCTCGGTCTCGTGTGTTCTTTGCTCCCTGCTGAAGAGCCTTCTGAAGCACTTGAGATATTTTGTAGATAATATTGACATATTTTTCAGAAACTGTTCCTTCATTTTATGTTTTTATAATTATTTATATGACACTATCAAGTTCTCCCCTTCAGTTTTAATTGATTTCTATCTACAGCAGAGGGAGGTCTTCAGTTTTAAATGACTCATTTTCAGTTTTGCAAATCTTGGAATCTGAACCTTCTCTTACGCTAGAAAGGCTTTCAGATGCACTTCCTTCTGTTTCTTTCTCAAATTCCTCTGTGTTTATTTATTCCCATGTTTCTTTTTCAAATTCCATTGGTCTTGATTCAATTTAGTTCTACAGATCTTATTGGTAATCTACCTGCTAACTGCTAATTTAACCATCAGAGACACAAAAATGAAAAGGCTGATATAGTGGTTGACATTCTGCTAGTAAATATTTGCTTAATTCTTTACAACTGAGAAGGTGGCCTTATGTATGTTTCTCAGTTAGTAATCACATTAATTATGCATGACAGCTAGGATCTATTTTATAAATAAGAAAAGTAGAACCCAGGGGAAGTAGGTAACCCCAAATGAACTTCTATTTCAATAAGCCTGTCCCTGGCTTGTGATCTGTTCGTGGAGGGTTGGTAGTTTTGAAGATAGCAAGCTCACCCTCCTCAGGAACCATGGACTTCCATGCTTATCACATAGAGAATAACTTAAATCTAAATCACCCAAATGTCAGACATAAAGCCTAGGAGAAGCCTGTGCTAATGAGAAGCCTACGCTAATGAGGAGCCTATGCTAATGAAGCTGAGGTCTGAGGAGTCCAAGCTCTACTTGAATCCTTTAGCATTGATTTTTGAAAGGAAGATGACACAGGACAAATAAAATAAGCAAGTTTGAAACTCTCCTTATAGCACTTGGCTCATTTTAAAATATTTTCTGTGCTTAAATCTATACTTTAAAAATAACTATAATACCTAAAAAAGAGAAAATTGCCGAGTTTATGACAAGAACAAGGAATCAAAACTTAATAATAGTTTTCATTTGTTTTTTTGTTAATGTTTAAAAAACTACAAAACACAAATGAGAATAATTTCACAAATTGCCTTTTTAAAAATTATTATTCTTTCCTTGTCTCGCCCCAAATTTGAGAAATGGTAATTTTCATTTCCAGACTTCATTTCCAAACAAGTATGAATAATACCAACAAAAGTAATCCCTCCCACACTAAAATGTGCAATTGTAGAATATACTGTAGATATGCTAAAGAAACAATATGCTACTTAGGAAACAAAGAGAACATGTTATCTGCTGCTTTCTCAAGTTAACTGAAGAATGAATTTTATTGATTTCAAAATAACCATTTTTCTCCAAAGTAGCAAAGGTGTAACACTGCTTTACATGAATCAAAGGAGTGGAACAATAAGAACTTTTAAAAAATGAATAGCTCACAGATGGTTGAACATCTCTTTAATCTTTACAGAGGAATTTCTTTTCTCTCTTCTTTGTTATTTAAAAAAACATTTTTCAAGGCATTGCAACAGATAAGTGGGTTTCCTATTACAGTTTTCCCTGCAGCATAAATTCTGTGGATGTGTTTCCATATCATACTAATTATATCACCATATGTTGCATTCTCCTTTCTTTTTGTCCTAATGGGACATAGATTTCTTATTTTGAATTTGTCACTTGTTTGTTACATTTGTCAAGTGTTGTATATGCATCCTTCATTTGCTTTTAAGAACATTTAGTCTAAATATTAAATCTGGACATGAAGGTCAATTATGTGTAAGATGGGAATTATACCACCACATCTCAGACTTGTATACAATACCAAGACTGAGTTGCACAATTTTTATTGTTGGTATGAATGGAGTTTACACAAGAAGTGTTCCAATGGTACTGGTTTATACCTAAATTAAATTTTTAAAATAAATTTTTGTTGCATAGGTAAAAAATATTAAAAATATTAAAAATTAGATAGTGTCATTATAACCTACCAAAACCTACATCTATATGAAATAATTTAATGCAATATTTCAGGGAAAATATGGTTGCCAAAATCAATCTCCTTGTTGATTGTTTTTTTCATGTGTAATTAGAAGCTGAGATTATTTTCTATTGAGATATGTATGTATCTGTTTGTATAAAGAATTTCTATGGGCGTGCATATTTGAACACATAAATATATATACACACACATATATATATTATACATAAGAATGTTTCACTACACTGAAATAAAATTGTTTAAAGAAAGAAAGCAGAAACCTATGTTATTAGATAGAGAATGAACACTTTGTTGAATAAATACTTCTCCGGTTATCTCTGTATCCAAGGATGGGGGAGAGGCAGGTGGTCCACTTCCCTCTTCCTGTCCCTGGCCCTCAAGGGCCCTGCAGATTCCTGTCCATTGCCCATTGATCTCCACATGAACGGGTCTTCTGCACCTTTTCTTTCTGGGGGGGGGGGGTTGAAGATCAAGATTCCAGTGTTGACCCACTTGGTTCCAGATTGCATCTAACTCACTTGGTGGATGTATGTTTTCCTCCCTCATTGGCAACTTCTGCATTTAGAAAGGTGCTCTCCTTTTTTATTTCTTCCAAAGAAAGCTGTTATTCCTCGGCTAGTGAAAAGTGAGAAATTGGGGAAATGGGATTTTACAGGTGTGTGGGTGCCTGTAGTTTTCCTTTTTGAGAAACTGCTTTTGTTGATTTTGGTGCACCTGGTTGTCCAATAATCTGTTTTATTTAACAAGCTCTTCCTGGAAGCCTAAAGGATATTTTCACTTCACCTTTACACTGATACTTTGCTCTTTAAAATTTGCATTAAAATCATTCCCTAGATTATCTGCTAACCAGTAATCAATACATATATTTCTCTATTCATTTCAATCATACATATTAATCTCTATCTATATATATTCTTGTGTTTCCTCTTCTCAAACAAGGACATAAATGCTGAAGTTAACACGATCTTTACTAAGGAATGGCTGGCCTACTTTATGCATGGAGCAACCTCCCCATCATGTGGACTTTTAGAATATTGCTACTGAATTTAAAGCCATGCTATAGACTTGAAAATAGAAACACCAATTAATTTCAAAGGAAGGATGCAGCTCCTGGTAGTGCCCTCCCCCCATACTGGGGATTACATCAAGGGCCTTCACACTGAGCTACATCTGCAGTTTCTTTCTTTCTCTCTCTCTCTTTCTTTCTTGCTTTCTTGTTTTCTTTCTTTCTTTCTTTCTTTTTTGCTTGCTTGCTTGCTTTCAAGAAAAGGTCTCACTAAGTTGCTAAGTTTCCCAGGCTGTACTCAAACTTACAGTCCTCTCTCCCCAGTCTCCCAGAGTGCTGAGATATTGGAGTGCACCACCACACTCGGCTTGGTTCTTTTATATCTCATGTCATTTCATTTTCTTCTATAGATCAGGCCATATTCTCAGCACCTTACGTGCTTTCATCATTTCAACAACTCAAATAGTTACTATCTCCATTTCATAAATGAGACAATTAAGGCTTGTTAAAGACCACAAAGCTGGTAAATAATAAAGTCCAGAATTGAATGGAGGATCAAATTCTGTAGTTAGGTGAGGTATGTCTTGCTTCAATTTTTCCACACAAAATTTAACAAAAAATAGCATCATCTAGCTAAGTACAAAATAATAATATTAATTTGTGTTCACTGAGGACCAGCAATGTCTCGGGTACTGTCCATAGGCAGTTGTCATTATTCTACCATTCCATCAATGCCTGCATGCTGAGAGGTTGGGAAATGTTAAGAGCTACCAAAAACAAATAACTTTAAAAAGTCATTCTTGCTCTGAATCTGTATGGTTCCCGCTATTAATGATGGAGGATATAGGAAATTTCCTAAGAAATGTGGACTTTTCTCCTCGGCAAAGTTATAGGTTTTGCAACCATGAATATATTTCCAATGGCAGAGCAGCTCCCCAAGGAGATGCCAAGAAACAGATGGAGAGACCTTAATGTTTCTACCATGTAATTCAGGTTTGCTTTTTTATGCTATTAAGAATTAATTAGGAATTAATGCACTCCCCATTCGTCTGCCCTGAGAAAAACAGGAATGGCTTTCGGGTATTCTGTGGACCTAAAGTGCTTCAAAAGTGATTCCCATTTTGATTGAATTAGCTGTTGAGGTTCTCTGAAAAAGGATTAACTCAGTCATATACCAATCAAGACAAACAGGAATAAATTTTACCTTCCTTCATTTATTCACATTCATTTATTCGATGAATATCTGCCAACACCCACAATGTGTACGGTTCAGTGCTTCTTCACCTCCAAATCTAGGGGCCAGGGAATGATGAGGAGACCTGCTATTCCCATGGAGAGGGATAACGAGAAGAGGGGTGATCCACAGCCCACCCAGGGTAACGAGACAGCTTTGTGGGACATCTGTGTGTGTGTGTATCCTCGGAGGAAGAGGGACAAGGACACATGCCGACGGCCAAGGGAGTAGCAAGACCCAGGCAGGGAAGCTCTGCCTGCAACTCACAGGCCTGAGTGCTGGAGTGAAGGCCGTCCACAGGGCAGGTGCTCACAGGTGTTCGGAGTGAGCTCCCGTCCAGTCTTCACCAGGGACCCCATCCTAGCCTACTGCATTAGAATCTGGGAGGAGCACTGGCCACCTGAGGTTGGTTGACCCTGCAGGTGATGTGCTGTATGCTAAGGGCTGAGAGCCCCGTGCCCCGTAGCCAGCCCTTCCACCTGAGGCACGTGCTGGGGTGAGGGGCAGGTGCGCTGGAGACACTCCTTTCCACAGTGCTCAGGGTGCTGGGCGGGCCCGGAGAAGACGCTCTCGGCTCTGACCGAGCCTGTGACCAATGCCACAGACCCCTCCACCTATGACAGCAGCAGCTCTGCAAGAAGCAGGCCCCTGAGCCAAGCCTGCAGAAGGCTGCCTGCATCCACCCTAAACCCACCAGGTAAAGGAGCACTTTACCTGTCTAAGGGCTTGTAAAAGAAGGAAAAACGGGGGCTGAAAGAGGAGGAAGAAGAGAGTATGATAAAGTCAAAGTTGGAGGAAGAGAACAAGCCAGGGGAGCAGGAAGAGACTTCTGTGAGGGTATGTAGGCTGCAAGGGCTAAATATGCGCTATTTGCTCTGACTCTACAAAACAATTCTGCTGCCTCTCATGTAGACTCGGAGAAATTGTGAAAAAAGAAACAATAGCACCAAAGAATTTGGTAGGGTTAATGAGGAAAATAGCAATGTCAGAGAAGAAAAAAATGGAAGAGCTGGAAGCAGGAAGCCAAATATTTCACATAAGGAAGTTGGTAAAGACCTGAATGGTGTAAAAGCTCTTTGGCAGGAAGAAATGGATTTCTAATCCTTATAGAAATGAAATATTTAACTTTCTGTTGACCCTGGCACTATGCCATGGTAAGATTCTCAACAATGGAAGAAACCATAGACTGTATTCAGTTCAGCAATTTCTTGGGGTTTGGTTTGATCTAGCTGTTTTGTGTTTGTTTTGGTAGGGCTGAAACCTAGGGCATTGCAGATGCCAAGCATGAACTCTACCTCTGAGCTCCACCCCTTAGCCCTGATTTAGTTTTGAGTAGAGGAGTGTTGAGTACATGAGTTCTACAGCCAGAATCTACCTGCAGAATCCAGGCTGGAAGATCTTCTGCTAATTGCTTCCCTTTGTCTTTGTATAAAATGAGCACAACAATAACACTTACCTCTTAAGGTTGGGGTCAGAATTCAGTAAGTTGGTATAGATAAGGAACTTAGAACACAGCAGAATTACGTATGTACTCTATGAGTGTTAGCTATTATGTACCACACAGCTCAGAACAGATGCTAACACAAATCAAGAAATCACAGCTGCTACTCTGGGTAAAATATGTCAGTATTTTGTTCCTTACCAGTATATATACTCCTGAGTTCCTTGTCAGTATATTTAATTCTCTCCAGGGATGTAGCTCAGTGGCGCCGCACCTCCCCGGCAAGCTCAAGGTCCTGAGTTTGATTCCCGGTACCAAAAAAAAAGTATATTTAATTCTCGAAACAATATTTTTTTAATTTTATTTTTTTAAAGGAGATGTGTTTTTTTTGTTTTGTTTTGTTTTTTTGGTACCAGGGATCAAACTCGGGACCTTGCGCTTGTGAGGCAGGCGCCAGAACCACTGAGCTAAATCCCCAGCCCTCCCAAAACAATATTAAAAGGTTTTAGAAATGTATATTCTACTTCAACATATCAAATTCAACCAAAAACAATTAGAATATACAGTGTGCAACCTATGTTACACTGTGGAGAAAAATGTAACAAGACATATAACCCTCTGCCTGCTGGGAATGCTTAGTGAGTCTTGCAGGCTAAGAGAAGAATATTATTTCAATGCTCTCTTAACAAAGCACTGGAAATGGTTTTAAACAAAGGGATTGCATGCAGTTTAGTTTTATAATCAGACAAATACAAAAATATCATAAAAAGAAAGTATTATAGATGCTTGATTCTCTCAGAAGGAAAATCGTGATTTTTAATTAATGGACCAAGAATTATAAAACAGGAGTTTGGAAGTTTGAAGGCTCCCAGAGTGCTGAGATTGTAGGTGTGTGCCACCATCCCCAGCATGAAATCCCAAATCTAATATTTAAGCTGAAAGCACCAAGTAGTGGACACTTAATCACATGCATGTGTACATACACACACCAAGGTAAAATTAACCAGTGCTTGATGCACCCAAAGACCTTTCTTTCTAAATAGATGTCATTTTTTTAACCTGTTTACAAGCTTTCATGTTATCCACAAAAAACTGATTTTTAAAAATGAACTTCAATTTAATGTCTTTCAGGATGACCACCTAAGAAAATGAACATATTTATTTCTACATTCGGAAATAATTAGAAACAATGTGACAGTTTATTAAATAAAGTTGAAGTAACAAGAACCTTCCTTTAACTTCCAAAGTCAAAGATTTTGAAGAAAAAAATGGTAGTTTTAATTTATTTCTTTAGGGGAAGAGTTGTTTTTTGTTTTGTTTTGTTCTGTTTGTACTAGAGATTGATCCCAGGATCTTCAACTGAACTACTTCCCTCTCCCTTTTTAGGTTTTTATGTTGAGACAGGGACTCGCTAAGTTGCCCAGGCAGGACTTGAACTTGCAATCCTTCAGCTTCACCCTCCCAGATGCTGGGATTCTAAGTATGCACCACTGTCCCAGCATAGGAGAAGAGATCTTTATCTACTCTCCAAAAGGTAATTTATAGGACAGTATCCACGGCGGGGGCTGGGAGCTTGACTTAGAAAAAATAATTCTGGCTCTTTGTACAAACTTTTACTAGCTATGAATTTTCATAATGTTAAATTTTTCTTCCCAGTGTGTATACCTCAGCTTTGTTTATCTGGGCGCATTATTTTTTAAGGGTTGTCATTATTCATCCTCCAGAAATTTATCAAAGTTGTGGCTCATGGAGCAACACACAGTCTTTTAGCTTTGTACCTTCTCCCAGGCTACCCTGTGGAGCATTCATTCAGAAAAATTTAAAGGTCCTTCAGGCTGGGGAGGGCTATGAGAATCACATGTATGCTTCAGCCTTTTCATCATGAGAAATCCTACACAGAAAACACACACACACGATTATAGTTATGGTGAACATATGATGGAACAAAAGCACAACACTCAAAAAGATACAATATAGTACAATATGTGGGACAAGGATGGTGGTCTCCATGCAGAAGAATTCGCCCAGCCAAACCCACTCACCCAAATCCTTGTTACTTTGGTAAACCAAAGAACTAGAATTATCTCATGCACTGTCCCAGTACACACATCCTTTGGCCCCTCAGGTCTTCCTCAATACCTACCCTTTGCATTCATCTTGCCCTCCTTTCACACCTGGCCCCACAGTCTGGATGAACAGAACATGGAACAGGCATCCCAGCTGCTCTCTTGCTCATCCTCCATCCTGAAAATACACCCCACTCCTTGTGCCTTCTATAAATCAATCCCAGCCCCGTTTTCTATTGTTCCTTTGTATTTTGTGTTTCCCTAACTCAGATCTCTTGCTGCTTCCACACTGAGCAGCAGCCCTCTCCCTTACACCCTTGGCAAGAGTGAAACATTAAAGGGAACATTACTTCTGTTTACTGCCCTTCCCTTCAACTCCTTCTACTTGCACTTCCAAGGCTGTCTTCATAATGTTATCTAAATTCCTGGGTTTACCAGAAAAGCTGGTAGATAAGAATAAAGCACATCTAACGTTTTTTGAAGGTTGTATTTGTCACTTGTGAAAGTGAGGTTCCCCTTTGTATGCTGCAAAATTCAAAGTACTTGATAGGCCAATAAAAACAGAACGCTTTTTGTTGATACTGTTTGTCAAATTTTGTCTTTGTAGGATTGTTCCAAGCCCTCCTGGATCTGCCTCTAATTATGCACATAGGAATCATGCTTCACTAATACAGATATGTACAGCCTGGTAAAGGACACTGGAGCCTGGACCTGTGCTCCCATCCCATGGTGTGTGTTGATGAATCTAGGTGAGCACACAGGTATCAAATGCATTTATTCAGCACCTCCAATTTGAAGAAAGACAATCTCTCATTTAAGTGCTTAATACAAGTTTATTTTTATATTTGCAGTGCTAGAGATTGAATTTAGGTCCTGTGCAAGCTAAGCAAACCCATTACTCCTAAACTACACCCCTAGCCCTTACTAGGCATTTAGAATAATCTGTCTACTATTTAATTACTGTTTGTAACAGTAACACAGAAAGCATCAAATATTGATGTAAAATACAAATTCCAGTTTTATAGGTAGAGATGGAGCTTGAGATTATTTCTAAGAGGTCTCCAGGTTAGGACCATGCTTTGAGTAGCAGAGCTCTACAGTAATTCATGGTTTAGTAACTGGTTACAAACGCACACACCGTTCACTATTGCTCATTGGAAATTCTGCCAAGTGTCTGCAAAATAGAAAAAAGAGGAGAAAAGGAAGGGCATGGATACAGTAGGTACTGAAGATGAGATAAAAATCTCCCTGGGGCCCAGGCAGAGTTGCCTATTGTTTTTGAGAGGCAGATTTCCTTAGATTTTGTATCTGGGCTCCGTCACTTACTAAATGCATGCATTTACCCAAATTATCTTAGCTTCCGTGCCACGTGTTGTCCCCATAGATGGGAATGATACTGCTTCAAGTTTTCCTTATAGGAGCAAAAGGGATAATGTAAAAAAATAACATGCAGTAGTGAGACTGTAACAAATTAGAAAAACTAAATCACTAAATCTTTATCTGAGAGAAAAATGTTTCAGATGCAAAGGAATAGAAATGTATGTTAATTATTTAAAATTCTCTACAAAAAGATGATAAGAATATCCAAAACATTGAGATGCTCATTTTTTACTCTAAAATATATTGTCTTTTTCTGTCTGAGTCTGTACTAAATGATGGACAAGCTTGCAATATTTAAAAAGCAATTAAATGTAGTTCAAAAGGCTTAATACAGGAAATACGTGTTCTATATATGAATTATATTTCTAAGTAAAAATCTAGCCTTAACGAAAGCTCTATGATAGTATGTGGAAATTTATCCTGTAATCACATTTCAAGTAAAGGTGATTTAATTAAGTGTCATGTATCTGATGAGTAGATCAGTTTTTGCATTTTCAGCGAGAGTGCTTTGGCATCGTAGTGGTAATGCATAACATACCAATTATTCTCAGTTCACTTAAATGAAACTCACTAAACGTTCACCTTGGCTTCATACCTTTGCTGCTTTATTCTTCTCTATTGTTTCCTTATTTACATTGCTCTTTTTCAGAGTTTTCCCTTTTGTGCTTCTGTCCTGCCCCATGTGTATTCAGTGGAAAGAAAACATGGCCTTTGATACCAGAGAGACCTAGAACCAAATCCAATGTGGATCCCACCTTTGAGGACCTGGGTGCACTTGGACAAGAGTCTTTCTCTAAGACACAGTTTTCTTTATCATTTTCTGGGTTATGGTAAAAATTACAGGTAATAATTGTTAAGAATTTGCATGGAGACTACACATGGAAAATAGGCATGACTATGAGATTTGGTATTTATGAGGCATCATTGAAACATATGGTGAATATTTAAATTAAAAATTTATTATGGTAAAGGACACATTGCCATTACAGTACTAAGCCCCCTCACAACATTCTCCTTTGCTTCAAATGCCCTTGTCCCGTCATTCTTGACACTTTCTGAAGCAGTTTGGGAAGCCCTCTTTTGTGAATGCATTGTCATGGCTGCCCCAACATTCTGAACTGACTCTAAATGATCATTTTGAGATTAAGGCAGGGCCAGAAGTCTCATGGTATCAGATCCAGAGAATAGGTGGATAAGGACACACTGCGATGTTTTTACAAGCCTACCTTTGGATGGGTGACCCTTGGCAGTAGCATTCACCAAATTTTTGATCACACCTCATAAAGACTCACAAATGAGGATTTTCATTACTGCTTCAGAAAGTGACAAGGATGATGGGTTGGCTAAGTGTGTTCAGAATGAGGGTGAATGTTTTGAGGGAAATTAATGGCAATTTGTCTTTTATTGTAATAATTTTTTTATTTAAATCTTTATCGTATATTTCACCTCCTAAGTGTCAGTTTATGTACCACCTGTTTGAAATCTTCTTGGAAGCTTTGTAGATGGAAACAAGTTCTGCCTGCTTGAGTACCCAAATGTGTTTTATTTGTACTTACTTTTATACTGGCATCTTAGCTACTGTATATAAAGTACAGTAGGAATAGATTGTCTGCTCTATAAAACTTGAAATTTCTATAGAAAAGATTCTAACTTCTATATTTACATGCACACCATGCTTCTATCTTGGAGTTTACACATAATGCTATAATAATAAATATTTGATAAGTATTTTCTTAATAAAGCAAAATAACTTTTTGGCAAAACATCAGTTTTTCATTTGGTCTGCTTCTGGTTTCTCCCAATTTCTCCAATTTTTCAATGTCTGGCCATAATGAATCACATTAAACACCAAACGTATGATACTGTCCAACAAATATGATTTATTTAGCAATCATATACAATAGGAAATACAGAGAATTACAGCATAATAAAAACACAAGAATTATAGATTGTCAAGTTAAAAATTAAATTAAAGAGGCTCTGGTTAAATGAAAGGCATATGACCTTGCAGGATATATATGTCAATCAGCTTGGGCTACAAATGCAAAGCAGGATATTCCAGGTACAGCAGCCTAACTCATCAGCCCTCTTTGGAGACTGGACCCCACGTTGGTGTTTGCAGAAGGGAGGATGCAGGTAATCTCCACCTAACTTCCTGTCAGATAGTGCCAACCTCATCCAACTTTCACTAAATAGTGCCAAATCACAGCTGTCTTACAGAGCGAGTGGGAGATGAGGAAGGAAGTAATATGGAAAATGAAAAAGGGCAGAGGGATAGGGAAGGTGGGAGGACAGGGAAAGGCTAGGTGCCTCAAGAAGCATGCCAACTCTGAATACAAGGCATGTCTTCCCCACTCCTTCTGCAAGGGCAGCCACAGGGCTTTGTGAGTCACATACCCTGGAAAAGTAGGCTCAAGCCCAAACACAGAAATTGGTTCAAATCTTTATATTCCTCTATTTCTAATATCAAAGTATAGAGATCTTAATGTATGAAGAGGAACAAAGTGGATGCTTCAAACACCATTGGAGAAGTGGTGTTGCAATGTATTCCTCCCTCAGAGAGTCCACAGCTTCACTGAAAGAACTGGCTCAAGTAGGAATCATAGTAATTATACTTCCCAATCATGTTCTATTTTAAATGCAGAGTATTTTCTGGATGAAAAATACCTCATCAAAAAAAAAGACTTTAAAAGCAGTAGTTAGAGATTATCCATAAATAGAAATAAAAAGTTCATTTTTAAAGGACAAAAACTCACCATGATGTGCATTTCTATAAATCTTCCCCCAGCACATTATTATAGATCACTCTTTACTGCTTACATTTAAAAATATCAGTTGTATTGTAATTTCTATGATACAATTCGGTTATTTAGCTGTGTTCTGCACAAGATTCAGAGGAAACTAAAGCTAAGGATCATATTCACAGAATGTTTAAAAGCATTTTATACTGTCCACACACAAATATATCTTAAATTACAATGATGCATACTAAATATGCATGTAGAATATGGCTTACACTTGAAAAGAGATCTAAGTGTGAGCTATAAAATCTCACCACTTAGGCTGAAAATCTTCTGATTGCATCCATTTCTAGTATTGCTGGGCATTGTGGAACCCAGGAAGGAAGCAGGTGCAACCAGCAACTCGTTAGAATGGATGGATTCTCCTCCTTTCTGTCAGGTAACTGATGGCTATTCTCGATTCTTTCCATCCTATTTCTACCTCTCACACAGACAAATTCACTTAAGCTCACAGTCATTGAAACATTCGTACAGTGAAATGCTGTAACACTAAATGGTGCTTGCCCTTTCTTGTCAGCTAATAACAAATAAAGGTAGTTTTTCAATTTGTAGCAGAGGGAGGGCTTTGCACATGCTCAGGCAACACATGACAAGAGGCAGGACTTCTGAGGGTTGCAGTTTGTTTTCCTTCAGTAAAATTAAACAGTCACATCAAATAATGTTATTTCTACAGAAAAGTGTGGGCTTCCATTTCTACAGACATTTTTAAATACATGTACACACATGAACACAAACACTTTTTGTGTTCTATCCCTTGGCTTGTAATGTATTCTATTACATCCAGATGGGATCAATACCCCAGAAGACAAATTCCATTCTCTGAGTGTCCATCTCCAGCAATGGCTGTTACTGGGTGCTCTTGGTAAAGTGTAACTTCATTGTGACGATGCTGTGTAGGTGATGCAATCACAGGGATGAGGCAGCTGGTGCCAGGCTTCAGGTAAGGCTGCGCTGCTGCCTTTTCCCAGCTTAAGCTTTACACTGAGTGTCCATCAGGCTGCTGAGCCACCCACAGTGAGGGTACCCTTGCCACGTTCCAATTCAGCTGCAGCTCCTGGGCAGCCCTGACTCTCCTTTTGTTCCCATGCATTAAAATAAGGACAATCTAAACAGCCTGTTCCCTGGTGCTGCCAAAAAATATTTTTTTCCACTTCATTCTTTTGCTTTTCTTTAAGACCTTTAAAAATTTGCATTTAGAGCACTCTTTCAGAAAATGCAAGAAAGTACATTTAAAATGCTTCATCTTCTGCACATGTGTTGTACAGCCACATGACAGGGTTAAAAGTGAAGCAAATTTAAAACTGCCCAACTTTTGTCTTAAAAATTTCTCTGACTTGATTGAAGAAGGCCAAATTGTGAAGAAAATAACAATGGTAGAAGCACTGGCCAAAAGCTCCCATAGAAACTTCAAGGTATTTATTTGACCAGTTACTAGCTTAAAATGTGTGTTCTTCTTATTCCTTCTACAGGAGTTCATTAAAATGGCCTGATCCAGTTATAGGCTGAAAGAGAACATAGTTTTGTGGAAAATTGAGGACTTAGGATGTTTTTTAGTGCTGTTTTCATCATCCTGAAATAAAAATCAAATGAAAATGAAGAACAAAGAAGGGTCAGATATTGGTTAGAGGATACAAAATTTCAGTTAGCCAGGGAGAATAAGTTCAAAATATCTGTTGTACAACATGGTGACACTAGCTAATAACATTGTCCTCAACATTGTATTCTTAAAAATCGCTGAAAGAGTAGATTTTAAATGTTCTTACCATAAAAAAATTATATGAGGTTATATATATATGTGCTAATATATATAATTTATTATATATGCCAATTAGATCAATTTAACCATTCCATTAGGTGTGTATATATATATTTAAAGCTACATATATGTGATAAATATATAAATATATGTCAATTAAAAATACAAAGGATAGAGATCATGAGTTAGTCACATATAGGCACTGATTACTGTGTGACGATTTCACATTTTACTTGATACACTTTGTCAAAATAAGGGATTTATCAGTATATAATAGATATAGATTTTACATCAGTTAAAATTTACTTCCTATTTCTGCTGTGTATATGTGTCTGTGTATGGGTTTTATTCCCAATGAAAATCTTTTAATACATGGGTCATTTTCATAAATATACTGGTAACCTGCATTTCATATAGTTTTCTAAAAATATCAAGAAATATTCCAGCTCCATATCATAAATGCTTAGGAAATCCTGATCCTAAAGTTCTTTCTTTTTTTTCTTTTTGAAAGGACACACTATACACTGGCTCAAAGGTATCCTCTAGGAAGGAATCTTGCCTAATTTTGTTTTACTCAGCTGGCTAATGATACTTATTTGCTAACAATACCCTTTGTTATATAAATTATCTATAATATTCCACTGCATTAGTTTTCCCTAAAATATTCTTCAGGGGTTTAATATGTATCAGCCGAGGACACTTCTGAAATGACCATGGGCACTAAAGGTAGTAAATGTGTACTTTTAATGGAGGTTCTGGAGAGGAAATGTAGCTAATTTTAAACAATATGTTACAATTGTTAACTATGGAGATGGATTCTAGTTGCTGAAGGCTACTTTGTGGCCTGATGTCTTCCCAAGCTATGTATAAAATAGCAATTGTAACCATCAACTATGTAATTGCGGCAAGGACTCACTGGGATAACACAGTAAGATGGTCACCCTGGTGACAGGTTCGCAACTGTCTCTGTAACTCAAGAATACCAACTATAACATCTCAAAGGCTTAGTACGGTGGGTGGCCTTAACATTTTCCTCTGGCCCCATTACCCCAACAGCAAGATTCATTATAATTCTTGGGTTTTGTTTCTTTTTTTTGCAGGCATTAAGACATCTCCACTGTGCCTTCCTTTCTCACTGCCAATACTAGTTGGGGTCTCTATTTAGAGAACAGAAATATCAACAGACGGGCTTATTCAAAATTCAGATTTCCAAGGCATCCCTCCCAGAGTTAATAATTTGGTAGACTGGGGCCAGGGATTTAGCTCAGTGGTGCTGCAGCCTGCCTTGCAAGCTGAAGGTCCCAAGTTTGATCCCTAGTACCAAAAATAAAATAAAATAACAACAATAATAATAACAATTTGGTAGACTGAAAGGAATTCTAGAAGCTGAATTTTTAAAAGCAGTATTACTAATGCATATGCCCATGATATTTGTTTCATGACATGTCTTTGCTTTTATCAGCAAACATAAATGTTCATGTTCCCTTCATGAAATAAAAATAAGAAACTAGTATAAAACCTTTATATTTCCTACATAAGTTAAAAAATGAACCTTCACATACACTATAGTATAAACCCTTTATATTAGTATACACTATAGTATAAAACCTTTTTTATTGGAGATATTTAAATTTTAGCTGGTAAGGTTTTGCCTCAGAAAACTGAACCCAGGGATTGATAAAAAAGAGTTGACAAGAGAATTTAAAGAAGATACCTTTGTCTTAAGGGTACTCTATAAACCACTCATTTTAGAAATTAGGTTTCTTGACCAAAAACATAAAATTACCTCTCCTGTTTAAAATGACAGAAGCCTTCAAGGTGTTTCAGTCCTACAGATGTGTGTCAGAATGTTTTTCTTCAGTGTTTGCTAAGTCTTCTGAGTTCTTATGAAGACCAAGTTCACCTAAAAAAAAAAAAAAAAAGCAAATACAGACAAAAAGAAATTGGCCTTTGAGAAAATTTAAGAATTATCAGGAAATGGAAACAATTTGTAAAATGTCGAAGACTTCATTTTACAATGGATTTTGTACACATTTCTCTGAAGACACTAAATATTTTCTTTTTAGAGTGTGGGTCTATAGAGCATAACAAATGTTCTGGTGATTATTTAACTTTTTTTTTTTTTTTGGTACCGGGGATTGAACTCAGGACCTTGCGCTCAAGAGGCAGGCGCGGTGCCACTGAGCTAAATCCCGGGCCCAATTATTTAACTTTTGAAGCTGTGATTTAATCTGGGAATACAAAATGATGTAGATGAGACATCATCATTTACATGTAAAATTTATGCATATTTTTCAGGAATATTTTAATTGAATTCTTTTAAACAAGCCCTCTAATGACTAGTGTCTTTTTACCACATATCGATTAGTTGGTAAGAATTTAAAACAAGGGAGGAGTACGAGTTTAGCAATGCTTCAGTTTAGTAACTTCTGGAGAAGTTGCAGAGCGTTGATCAAAAATACAATTATAGGGGCCGGGGATTTAGCTCAGTGGTTCTGCCGCCTGCCTCAAAAGCTCAAGGACCCAAGTTCGATCCCCAGTACCAAAAACAACAACAAAAAAATTATAAAGCAAAAGGTAGTGATAAAGGAAGCTTACAAGATACAAAGTAAACATAATAAACAGCAATTACCTTTTGAGTCAGCTCCTCAAAATGTATTTCAGGCAATATTTATGTATGATGTAATGCTTTTCCTTGTCTGAACTTTAATTGAAGATGTTTCAATAACTAAACTTTGCACCAGTGAACTCTGATATAATTTGTTCCTTCCAACATACTTTGTAAGACTGTCGATTCAGTTGTGGGATGTTATTGAGATTATATAGCCAGGGGTCATATAGAATCACTAAACACATGTTTGTTCCTTTAAAATACATTCAGTAGGGGAAACTTATCTTCTGTTTTAAGATCAAAACATCAGTCCCTCACAACTTTTCTGATCACTCTTAAATAATAAAAACTATCTTTTGATTATGTTAAGTGGCCAAAGACTCAGCTCAGACATGAGAAGGTCTGGTCATATATTATACACAGCAAACAAAGGTAACACTTCTTTCCCATCTTAGGTTTGTTACAGAGCCCCAAAATGGGGTGAGTGTCTGTTTTGTGGCAGAGCTGATGTTCGTTTCATTTCTTGTTTCAACTCTTGCAAGTGGCTACTTTGTGTTCCTGAGCCGGTTCAAGGCAGTAAGAGCCAGGTTCCCACTCTTGCCCTTTGAAGGTCAGCTTTGTACTCCCTCAACCCAGCAGGTGGCAGAGCTGAGCCCTTTTTCTTCGAGCGCACTCATGAGCTCTTCAGAGATTTCTCACCCTCTTGGGGAGGCACAACAAATTCTGGTTTCTTTCCAATGTCCAGAGCCCATGGGAATTTGCTAGTTCATTTCCAGCTTCTGTCTGCTGAGGTCCCATGAACCTTCCAAACTCGAATGTGACATTTGCTTTGCAGGAGACCCTCCTCCTCGTCAGACATTTGAGCTCACAGGCTGAAATGCACACAGGCGACTCTGTAGGCTCATCTGTCACCATCTACCTCTTAGATCTCTCAGGAACCGGATTTGATTCCCAGTGTCCTCTTAGCTTCCATTCTCTTCAAAGGTCCTGGAAATGTTCTTCTCTTGATTTAGGATGAAGAAGAAGCATTTCCGTAACTTTACCAATAGCAGTGATCTAGTTAATGAAATCCTCCTCATAAATTCTTTTCCAAACAACTTACCCTTTCATTTGTTTGAGTTGTGGGAGGGTTCTAAGTACTCTTTGACTGTCTTTTAAATCTTTTTTGAAATTCTTGTCTCAACCCATTTTGTTTCCTGACATTTGTCATCTTTGAGTCTTGATTTAAACTTTGATTTAATATCCTGTTACTTAAGACCAGATTAGAACAGAACAAAATAGTCTAGAACAGAACAGAACTGCAAAAAGTGACAAGAACAGACTGAATTAAAAGAAAGGAATATAAGTATTTAATAAGGTTCAATGATTCTCAAAAATTTTGAGAGAACATTTTGTAGTCAGAAAAGGACACGAAGGTCTACACACCAAAAAATACTCTTATTTCTAGTGGATAAGGAACTCAGGAGTAAGGAAAGAATATTAGAATAAAATGCTAACAATGTAGTAATTATAAAACAAATAAATTCTAAATAATACATGGATTATATCCAAGAGTATGTATATGCAATTAGAAAAGTAGTAAGGCCAACTTAAGGTAAGAGTTTTGCAGCACTAAAAATGTATCTTCTTCAGATGAGATTGGGTGCCTTCAGAGTGGTATGGCTATAGACTATCTTCTTCAAACTGTAAAATCCCAGTTGTTTTCAAGGATACATAAAACAATATTGCCAAGCAATGTTATGGCACCTAATAGCTTAGGAAGACACTGAATTAGAGTCTGCAATAAATCCAAATCACATTACTTTTAGTTAATTAAACTTCAGTTGTGGAAGCCTTTACAATTAACTTTGGTAACGCCACTTCTAAGCTACTGTCTTAGTTACTTTTCTCATTGCTGAGATAAAATATTTGACACCCAGAGTTAAAGGAGGAAAGGTTTATTTAGCTCACAGCTTGTAGAGGTTTCAGTTTGTAGTTGGCTGGCTCCAAGGGAGGGTAGCATGGCAGAGGGACATCACGCAGGAGAAACAGTTTATGGCAGGGAGAAGGCAGCAAAGTAGTGAAGCAGCACAAAAGCAGCAGCAGCCCTTTTTCTGTCCCTTATATTCCATCCAGGCTACCTACCCTTAGGGTACCCACCCATAGGGCAGGTAGCACTCACACCCAGGGTGGGGCACCCTAAATCCCAGCATCACACACCCTAGATCCAGCCACATCTGAAAAGCCCCTATGATCGCATGAGGCTTTGGATGGGACATCTAGACACAAGCCATAACAGTCACTCTTCGTCCTTTATTAAAAGAATCACATTATTTTGATATATTCTGCAAGAAAAATTATTTGCACTGTTCAATCGTTTAACAATCATTTTAGATGATATTCATAGCCGAAGGGTGGTCTGTGTCAAAGAACTTAAGAAATATCTGTACAGTCCACGGTTCCAGACATTTTTGAACCATGCGTCAGTCCCTCTTTATATAGAGTCTAAATTCAGCAGAGAGCAGGGAGGGGATGATGTTCAGGGCATGGACAGAACCACTAAAACAAACAGCAATACTGTGCGTGTCACTGATCCTGGCCCTCAACCGCACCCGGAGCTCGCTTCCATTCCCTTAGAAGCACAGTATGTTAGATTCATAGATGATGTTGACGATACTTCAAAGGAGTAATATAAGGCACATTATTGAGGGGACATTAAAGACTCCAGTTCTCCAGTGATATCATGGGCTCATTTGAAAAATAACGTTAGGATACATAATTACATAACAGTAACCGACACCTTCTGAACACCTACTAGGCAGCCGCCACTAGTCTCAGTGCTTTGCTTATCTGTGTTGTACACAGCAGCCCTATGAGGAGAGTAGTAAGAATGGAAGCCGAGAAGTTGGTGGACTTATCTGTCCAAGGTCTTAGAGCTACTGAGTGGCTACCTCTCTTCAACAGTGAACCAGATTTTTGACCTCTAGTTCCATTTTCCAAGCTACATTCTGCATACTCTGTCACTCCTGCCATATCCACAAGCCACTGGCTCTCACTTGCAAAACATTTTTTCTAAACAACTTCACATCCATTCCCTTTTTGAAACAATAGAAAATAGTAATTTACTGTATCATACATAGTATTCCTCCCCTAAAATAACTAAATTTGATATGCTTTTGTATTTTTCTAATATATAAAATTTACAATAAAAGATCACATTTCTATGGATACAAAAACATGATTGATTTAATTTAATAGAATACATTGCATACCTATTTTTTTTCTCTAAGTCAACAATCCCTGCCTATGGGTAGGAAAATCATCACTATAATTTGTACCTTGGACATGAATATCAAAGGGATGCCTGGCTACCCCTAGGCATTGTAGCCAACGTGAGTTTGAGGGACAGAATGCCAAACTATCTCTCAGAAAACTACTCCAGTTAATCTTCCATGTTTAGCAGCAACATCAGATAGTATTTGAAAAATACTTAGCACAAACTTGGTTTGTGCAGCTACTTCAACAGAAACCACTAGTTCAGAGTTACTCTGCATTCTCAGTTCTTCACAAGAAAAATACCTCTGGATGCACAGCTCAAGCTGCCACATGTCTACTTTGCTTCAGTTTTATTTTCATCCCATTATGTAGTTTATGCTGCCAATAACTATAATGAATTGATCAAAAGTCACATTTACAGTCACTGGAGAAATGCAGTACATGGGGGAGCAGAGCTCTGGATTCTGTGTGGTGTTTTGGGATCCATATAATTTGCCTTCAGCACAGGGAAAATATTTTTCCTCTTAATTTACATGTACCTGGAGAAGCAAAAGTTACATTTCCTGTCTTTTTCTTGAGTGTTCATAAAAGTAACAGCAAGAGAAGAAAGGCCCACTGGGCAGAAGTAGAAGGCAGGTTGCTACAGCGAAATTCCGCGTCCCTCCCAAAGATGCAACTCTGACCTATAAAGTTGGAAAAAGTAATACCTTATTTGATAAAGCGTTACATGAGATACAAATCAAGAAGTAAGTTATTTCTTCTCTCACTAAAGCAAAGTCTAAACATCTAATTTGAGCTGGGCATGGTGGCACATGCCTGTAATCTCAGCACTCTGTATTGCTGAGCTGGGAGGATCACAAGTTCAAGCCCAGCCTGGACAACTTAGCAATTTAGTGACCTAGTGAGATTCTGTCTCAAAATCTAAAAATGCTAAAAAGGGCCGTGGATGTAGCTCAGTGTGAAGGCCCAAGTACTATCAAACACACACACACAGAGGTATTACATGAGGAGTTCTGCAGGTGATCTAGGGAAAATGA